TAGCACCAGTGGTGTCCGAAGCGACAACATACTGTTCCAACGGCACGTCCATGTGATTCGCTACCCTCAAATTGCCAAGGGCACACACTGCCAGATATCTTTGCTGAAACGTTTTTGCCGTGGCACACATTCATTTCAAATCTCATCGTTTCCCACATGCCATCGTGTGGGTAAAAAACACAACCAGTGAACATTTAAACTAATCTTAACGCTGTCTAATGGTTTGGGGTGAAATTTTCTGTTTAAAACACTAGCTTATTCCAAAATAGATATCATTGTGGCTCTCAACTGTTCTGTCACTTTTAATTGATTCGGATTGGTGTATGTGAGGGAGAAAAGCAGGGCACTTTGTTAAAATGGCATTGTTTATACACATTTTTCGGTAAGTCCTGCCATGTATCGTGAAAATATTTGGTGCTCTATTGGGCAACAGTGTCGGTGGCATACTTTCAGGAGGTAAAAATCCATCGCGATTTGCCCTCTTCAAAACTGAAAAAAATATTGCAAGCCATCACTTAACTGTTTTACTGATAAGTTGAGCTGGTAATTTTAGTTCTTCCATGCCAAAAGATTTTACGTGCGGCATATGTCTGGAACTGTCGGCAGAGGAGGAAAGGGTAACAAGACAATCTTTGATCTCGAATTAATTCTCCTTTTTGATTAAATCAATCGTATTGCATTCTTCAACCGAGCTATTAGAATCTGCAATGAACTGGAGTCTCTGAGTTACTTACCTCTGATTACTATAGTATTTATCCGACAGACATTGTAGTTCTCGTCGACGAATTCCACTCTTAAATGGGACCTTTAAATGAATTACTATGGTGTCCACATGAATATGGTCGATATGCGTTCCCATTCAAACGAACGAACGACAGAGGTCATCTTCTTCAACTACGTGCAGATCACGAACAGTTCTTATCAAACACTAACTTATTGCATGAGAAATGATATCACTTTACTTGGAGACCTCTAATCATATTGCTATGGGCAACCGGTGATGATTTATGTGCAAAAACTAGAACCATTAGGGTTGTAGTCCACACGGCATCGCTAAATTCGAGGAAACTTGATTTTGGAATATCAAATGCACCCTG